GACGGCCATGGACCGGCCCGCGCCGCCTCCCAGCGCCCCGACGGCCACGGACCGGCCCGCGCCGCCTCCCAGCGCCCCGACGGCCACGACCCAGCCCGCGCCCCGACAGCCACGACCCGGCCCGCGCCGCCTCCCAGCACCCCTACAATAACACTGCAGCCTGCATGCTAGGGGGAGATGGGTTTTGTTTGGGACGCACAGCTGGGCCTGTCCCAGCGGGTTGTTTGCACCCAGGAATGGGCTGACCACGGGAGAGCTGGGAGCAGCCGAGGGCGCCCTGAACTCAGCAGGGTGTTTACCGAGCCGCCACGCGCCAGGGTCGGGCTGGATTCCCTGCATAGCTCAGGGCGCCGCCCGCACGGAGCTCCCTCCGGCTCCAAAGGGTGCCAGGTGGGCCGCTGGGCAAGGGAGCCCCCTGGCAGCTGGGTGAACCCCTCCTGGAATGCAGCGCCTGCCCCACACGGGCCCCGGGAGCCCCTAGCCGCTTGCCAGCGATTAATTCAGAGGGGAGGAATCCCAACCAGGAATTCGGACACGTCAGTGGAAAAGCACGCCCCCCCCCCCCCTCTACATTCCTCCAGCCAGGGTACAGCCAGGCCGGGGACCCCCCTAGCTTATTAACGGCACATTCCTGCAGGGGCCAGGGGTCACGGGGAGGGCTGGTGCTCAGTGCCCCTGAAATCAGGCTGCCAGGAGCCTCACGGTGCTTGTTAAGGATGCCTGCTCCCTGCCACTGAGATGCAGCCACCTCTGGGATGCGGGGCGGGGGCCTGTTTATACAGAGAGTCCCTCAGCCAGGACTGAAATGCAGCCACCTCGGGGGTGGAATGCAGCAGCTGCTAAACATCAGCATTGCACTAGGGTTTAGAATAATAATCAAAGCATGGTCTTATGGTCCAAAACCAGGACTCCTGGGTTCTGTCCCCGGCTCTGGGAGGGGAGCGGGGTCTAGTGGTTAGAGCAGGGGGGCTGGGAGCCAGGACTGCTGGGTTCTAGCCCCAGCTCTGGGAGGGGAGTGGGGTCTAGTGGTTGGAGCAGGGAGGGCTGGGAGCCAGGACTCCTGGGTTCTGTCCCCGGCTGCCCTCGAGGAGCCACTGCCCCCCAGTTTCCCTGGGAACGAATGGCCCGCACACCCGGTGCGGGTGGCCGTGTGGAGGCAGGTTATCCAGCGTTGGTTTTCCCAGGACCTTCCCCCCGTGGCTGCTCCCTGCCCCGCAGGGCCAGAGGCCTGGACGTCCCTTTGTTGGCTCCTCTGGGCCTCATGCTCGCTGGCAGGCATCCCAGCACGGGAACAGCCAGCCCCTGCTCAGCTGACGGGGATCCAGCCCCGGCTGGGAGGTTACGCTCCGGGGCCCGGCCAGATCCCATGGCAGAGTGAGGTCATCGGCCTCCTTCAGTTTGCACACCCAGCTTCGTTTGGATACAGGATTCGCCCTCACTTCCTGCCCCGAATGGCTGGCTGGCATTGCTGAATCATAAACGGGCCCCCGCGCCCCACCCCAGAGGTGGCTGCACCTCAGCACTAGGCGAGGGGTCCCTGTATAAACAGCCCTCGCGTTCCACCCCAGAGGTGGCTGCAGCTCAGCCCCGGCTGATCTGCGCACCAATCCCTCCCCACACAGCATCACCCCCCAGCTCCCCAAAGGCAGTACCCTGCAGGATCCCTCTCGCTCCACTGATGAGGCTGACTAATGAGCTGCGTGCCTGGAGGCTACTTATTGCACCGGATTCTGGCCCTGGAACATTTCATTCCCACTCAGTGCCCCCCTTTGTAACGGATTCGTTCCCGCGCTGGCTGAACGTTTCCTTCCAGGAATGATTTTATAACCAGGAGGGCGGAGTGAGGGGTACAGGAACAAGAGAAAGAAAATGTCCCCTGCGTTTCCCCACTCCCCTCTGCTGGCGCTCGCTCTGGGTCTGGCTGGGGCAGAAAGAGACGTCCAGAGCTGGACAGCAGGGGGCTGCAAGCTGGGATTGAGGGTCCCCGGCAGACCTTAAGGAGCCCAGGGCTGGGGGAGCAGGGGGCTGCGGGTCGGGAGTGAGGGGCACCGGCAGAGCTGGGGGGAGCCCAGGACTGGGGGAGCCCAGGGCCTGCGGGTTGGGAGTGAGGGGCACCGGCAGAGCTGTGAGGGGAGCCCAGGGTCGGGCTAGCAGGGGCTGCGGGTCAGGAGTGAGGGGCACCGACAGGGCTGGGGGGGGCAGGGCTGGGCTGGCCGGGGCTGCGGGTCAGGAGTGAGGGGCACCAGCAGAGCTGGGGGGGAGCCCAGGGTCGGGCTAGCAGGGGCTGCGAGTCAGGAGTGAGGGGCACCGACAGGGCTGCGGGGGGCAGGGCTGGGCTGGCCGGGGCTGCGGGTCGGGAGTGAGGGGCCCCGGCAGAGCTGGGGGAGCAGGTATCCACGTAACTCAAAGCCCCTGCTCCATTCCCTCCTTTGCCATCTGTCTATGGCGCTCGCCCAGCAGCATGGGCAGCCCTGGGATAACGCCCCCCCCCCCCCCCCCCCAGCCGCTTCCTGTTTGGAATGAGCCCGGCTGCTTTGTTTCCAGCGGAGTCGGGCTCCGGGACTGAGTCAATATTTCCCGGCCGGCTGGAGCCGGGGGGCAGGGAACCGAGGGGCTCGGCTGCAGCCCCACGCCAGGACCACGCCCGGCCGGCCGCATGGCAGGGCCAAGGGCAGAGCAGAGATGAAGCCTGAGATTTATTTGTCTGATGGCTCCGTGCCCCCTCAACGCCCTTTGGGAACCCAGGAATCCTGGCCCCAGCCCCCCTCCAAAGCCAGTGCGGCAATACCCACATTTGTCCCACTGGGGCTTGGCCTCTGCCCCTGCCCTTGGGCGGCTTCTTGCCTCCCGCCCCGTCATCACCCTACCTGGGGGGGAGCTGGGCTCCATCGACCCGGGAGCCACCGGCCCAGTCACACCCAGCGTCTGGGGCAGAACCCACCCCCCCCCGAGCCACCCCCTAGTGGGCAGCGGGGGTCCCGCTCGGTCCTGGTGCAAGGCACCCGCAAGGTAACTACTTGCACACACGCCCCACCCCGCGGGCACACGCACACACGCCCCACGGGCACATGCACACACGCCTGGCCACATGGGCATGGGCACACACACACACGCCCTCCCTGCGGGCACACGCACACACGCCCCACACACACACTGCGAGTGCCCCCCCCGAGCCTGCGCCCAGACACAGGGCACACGCGCTGCCACGAGGGGCCGCACACACTGACATGCACAAACAGTTTGTTCAAGCAAATTACTACAACAACGGGTCGGTTCATCCTGCGACGATGACTCACGGTAAAAAAATGCCCCTGGCCCATGCCCAGGCCCAGCCCCTGTAGCAACAGGCCTCACAGCCAAGTGTGAGCTCGACCGGGCTTTCTGCAAGGAGGGGGTCTGGTGCCGGGGGTGCACGGAGACACACCCGTCCAAAGGGATACACCACGGCTCCCAGCCCCCCACCCGCTACCCCACTAGACCCCACTCCCCTCCCCGAGCTGGGGACAGAACCCAGGAGTCCTGGCTCCCAGCCCCCCACTCACTACCCCACTAGACCCCACTTCCCTCCCCGAGCTGGGGACAGAACCCAGCAGTCCTGGCTCCCAGCCCCCCGCTCTAACTACTAGACCCCACTCCCCTCCCCGAGCTGCGGACAGAACCCAGGAGTCCTGGCTCCCAGCCCCCCCTGCTCTAACCACTAGACCCCACTCCCCTCCCAGAGCTGGGGAGAGAACCCAGGAGTCGTGACTTGACCTGCTGGGCTCCACAGCCCTTCAACCCACCCTGGCGATCAACATGCCCTGAACAAAGCCCCACACGGGGGGAGTCGGGGTTACAGATGTGGCCAGATGAAGCCCCCGCCCCTTGCTCCAGCCACACAGCACTGAGCCAGTGCAGTTTCCCCCCCAAGGCCTTACCCCGGCACACACGCTGCTTGGCTCCCGACAGGATCCCCGGGGTGTCGATGAGGCTGATGCTTTCCAGGACTTGGTTGGGCAGCTGGGCGCACATGAACCTGGCAGGAGAGGGAGGCAGCGATGAGCAATGGCAGCATGTGAGACAGGAGAGGGGCAGCTCGGCCTAGCAGCTCGGGCTCCGCACGAGGAGCCAGGACTCCTGGGTCCTACCCTGGCACAGCGAGGGGAGGGGAGTGGGGTCTGGTGGTTAGAGGGGGGGGAGGGGCTGGGAACCAGGACTCCTGGGTTCAGTGCATGGCTCTGTCACTGAACTGATGTGTGACCTGGGGCAAGTCTCTTCCCCACTGGTGCCCGTCTCCCGTCCCTAGTTCGAGTGGGAGCTCTGCCAGGCAGGGACTATCTCACTCTGTCTGGGCAGCACCGGGCCCCACGGGGGGCCCTGCTCTCGGCCGGGGTCTGGGCAGCACCTGGCACAATCGGAGACTCGAGGGGCTACTGTGTTTGACTCCTGGCAGGTTTATCCCGGGTGCTTTGATCTCCAGTGCTGAGAAAGCAGGTGGAAAACATTGAGAGCTCATCCACCCTGCTGCGAGCCCCCTTCTCCTTGCGGAAGGAGCGTGCTGCGCCGGGGCTATTCTCTGCCCCCCAGGGCCCATGGGGGGTGGATCAGGGCATGGCCGGAGCGCATTGCACCGGGGCTATTCTCTGTCCCCCAGGGCCCATAGGGGTGGATCAGGGCGTGGCCGGAGCGCACTGTGCTGGGACTATTCTCTGCCCCCCAGGGCCCATGGGGTGGATCAGAGCATGGCCG